CAGGCGAGCAGATCAAAGCAGAGCAAGCAATCATCGACTGTACAGATAGGTTGTTTAAATTAACAACCCGGACCCAATAAAACAACCACTACCAAAAAACTTTCTGTACATTGGTGCGTCGGCCGGGAACTCGAAATACTAAAAATACAAAGAGCTTGACCAAATCCAAGAAATAAAATGGCCAGTATGAATCAAATCCAAGAAATAAAATGGCCAGCATCTATAGAGAAAACGCGGAACCAACCAGTCTAAGACTGCAAATGTATATCGATGATGTTCCCCTACAAATAACTCCCCTTCAAGAAGAATGGACATCGATAGAGAAGAAAGCTCATTGCCAGAGGCAAAAACTGGAATTAGAGTACCTAAAAAGAAAAATCTCCTCAGCTATCGATGTTTTAATAAACATAAACAAGGAGTGGATATTTTATATCCAGTCGCTACAAAATGAGGAGCAAAAAGAAATAGAAATGGTAACTTACCAAAGAAAAGCGAAAAACTACATTTTGGATGTAGTAGAAAGGGGGAGAGAGGCAAGAGATCTCTTGTGTTCTCTCGTAGATAATATAACGCTCCAGTTGCAAGCACTGGAAGCGTCCCCCAACAAAGAAGAAAAAAGGGAAGAAAAGGCAGATACTGCCACTATTCAAGCGAATATCCGTCTTCCCACATTAGAACTGCCACAGTTTAATGGCAACCCATTAAAATGGCCCGAATTTTGGGCAAGATTCTATGCCGAAGTGGGAGGTCAGCCCATCCCAGAAGTAACTAAGTTAAATTACTTACTTAATTGCCTCGTAGGGCCAGCGAAGACTGCGGCATCGGGCTATTCAATAGTCCCCATGAACTATGCTGTTGTATCAGAGATGCTAAAACAACGATATGGGGACGAAAATTTAATTAAAAAGCACCTTCAAAGTGAACTCAAACACTTATCGATGACTCACTCGAAGAACCTTCGCCCTATGGTCGAAAAATTGGAAGTCATCTTAAGGCAACTGGAAACTTTCGGTGACAATATTAATCACCCACAGATCGAGCTTGCCATAGAAGAGAAGTTACCAAAATGGCTACTTCTCGATGTCTACTCGAAGAAGGTCAACGATCCAAACTGGAACGTACAAAAGCTCCGAGATTACATCGAGGAAGCGGTAACGTTGAGAGAAATGGTTGACCGATACCACGGCTATAACGAAGCCACCAACACAAATCGGACCAACCCAAGAGAAGCGATTCAACACGAAAAAGGCAACTCTGCATTAACGACATTTGCCAATGAGAAGAAATCAATGATAAGAAAAAATCCTTGCGTGTTTTGCAATGGCGATCATTGGAACGATGAATGCAAGAGATATCAAACGTATAACGAGAGATGGGAGAAAGTCAAGCAACTTGACCTATGTTACAACTGCTTGGTCAGCGGTCATCTAACAAAAGAGTGTCGACGAAGAGTGCAATGTTTCCATTGCAAGAGACAGCATAATTCTGCGTTGTGCAAACAAACGTTCTCTGATGAGAGAGAAAGAAACAACAGACCAATGCAGATCGAGAAGAATCGAAGAATAAACGCTGCTTCCAGTCAAAAGACGTCAGCATCCGAGAATGTAACCTCGGTAACAGCTGTGTCAAGTACGAAGAAGGAAGCTACTACAGTGCTTCTTTTATGTCGAGAGATTATGGTAAAAAAAGGGCCATACTCAAACAAAACTGTTAGCGCTACGGTACTATTCGATACGGGCAGTCAAAAATCCTTCATCACAAATGAACTCGCTCAAAGAATTGGACTGAAGTGCTCAGAGAAAAAGGAAGACATAGAAATCATGGGTTTTGGTGAAGGAAACCCCAAGAGATACAAATCCAAAACCAGTCAATTGGAGGTAGTACTACAAGATGGTAACTCCACAACAATAGAAGTCAATTCTGTTCCTTTCCTCACTCAAAAGCTCCGAACGACGGAGATAACAGAAGAAGATGCGAGAAGATGGAGGGCTCATTACCAAACCATCATCTCACCTAAAGGAACATGGCAGCATCCGCAAATTCTAATCGGAGCTGACCATTTCTATGATTTCATACTCCCAGTCAATACGAGAAGACTATCATCCGGATTTCAAATGGTGAATTCAACCGTTGGATGGATGCTAACTGGCAAAGGGATAATGAAAGAAAAACACCGCAATAAACAATTCTTGGTTCAACCATTAATTGTAAATACAGTTGGCATGAAGAAAATTGATGATGATATCGATAACTATTGGAGATTAGAACTTATTGGCATCAAAGAAGAGGAGACAGAGGAAACTTCTGATGACATTTGTAAGAAGTTATTCCTTAAAACTGTCAATAAAGTAAATGAACGCTACTCAGTGAGTTGGCCATGGAAGAAGGCAGATCCAAAGCTGCCCTCAAATTACGGCTTATCACTCGGAAGATTGAAATCAACTTTCGAATCACTCAAAAAGAAAAATTATCTCCAACATTATGATGCCATCTTCAAAGAGCAATTAGATCAAGGCATTATAGAATATGCGCCGATATCGAAAAGGCTTATCATCAAATAGAATTAAATGAAGTCGATCGAGACTCAACAAGATTCCTTTGGCTCAAAGATTGTTCTAAAGGAATTACCAACGACAATATGGTAACTTTCCGCTTCAGGAGGGTACCGTTTGGAGTCATCTGCAGCCAATCCCTTCTTGCAATGGTACTACAAAAACATCTGCAAGAGAAAAACACATCGTTTGCGGCAAAAATCAAAGAAAATTTATATGTCGACAATGTCATAATCAGTGCAGATAATGTTACCGAAGCTGAATCAAACTACCAGGAGGTAAAGAAAATATTCGCAGAAGTTGGAATGAATATCCGAGAATTTCTGTCCAACAGCGAAGAGGTGAACAACAAAATACCTTCCGAAGATCGACACAAAGGATCAAGAGTAAAGGTCTTGGGAATCAATTGGAAATCGGATGTCGATGAAATTGAATTCAAATTCCCAACGATTGAAGAAAAACCGAGAACCAAAAGAACTGTACTTCAATTTGTTGCAAGACAGTATGATCCCTTGGGTTTCATAGCACCAGCGTTATTACCCTGGAAATCCAAGCAGCAAGAGCTTTGGAAGAAGAAATATGAATGGGACGACCCATTGAAAGAAGACGATGTGAAAGAAATAGAAGAGTTGGAATATGTTTGGAAGGGAAACACAATTACAATCCCTCGTCCAATACTCCATCAACAAAAAACAACCGAAATCCACGTTTTCACGGATGCTTCTACGAAAGCATACGCTGCATCAGTGTATTTGCGCGACGACGATGGAGAAAACATAGAAACCAATCTCCTATACGCAAAGACAAAACTGGCTCCTGTCAAAGGTCTTTCTATTCCGCGATTGGAATTATTGGCAGTACTCATTGGAACAAGAATACTAAACTTAGTTAAAAAACAAATGCAATTTGAAAAGATGAAGGCGACTATTTGGTCAGATTCCCAATGTGTTCTTCAATGGATCGATTCTAACAAGTATCAGACTGATCGATTCGTCGATAACCGTCTCGTCGAAATCAGAAAATCACCAGCAACTTTCCGTTATGTACCTACTAAGGAAAACCCAGCAGATGTGGCCACAAGAGGTCTAACTCCGTTGGAATTATCAAAGGCAAATCTTTGGTGGAAAGGACCAGAATGGTTAAAGCAACCTAAAGATCAATGGCCGCAATGGAAAATAGAATCAAACAAACAAGAAAATGACCCCATAAAAATCAATAACCAAACTATGTTGAATGAAGAAACTTATGTTTGTCCAGTGATACAACAGGAACAACCCAATGGTCCTAGTCAACTACTAGACCCAAAACGATTCAGTAAATGGTCAAAATTAATTCGAGTTGCTGCATATGTGCGAAGAATAGCCGATAAGATGAAAAGTAAACGTGATTTTCCCGAAAACCTCTCACCAGAAGAAATAGAAGAAGCGGAAAAGATGGTTATTCGTCAAGCACAAGAAGAAAAAATCGATGATTCCGAAAAGAAAAAATGGTCCTTAATACTTGAAGAAGATATATGGAAATGTCAGGGAAGAATGCAAAATATTGAAGGTCCATTGCCAATTTATCTCCCAAAAGATAGTCGATTCACTCACCTTTATATTAAACATATCCATGAAAACAATGGTCACAGTGGAGTCAGTCACACTCTGTCTCAACTTTGGAAAACAACATGGGTACCAAAAGGTAGACGAACGGTCGCTAAAATTATAAAGGATTGTTATGGATGTAAAAGATGGCAGGCTAAACCTTTCAAACTACCAGAAATGCCATCCCATCCAGGAATTCGAGTGCGTCAAAGTCAACCTTTTCAAAGTATAGGACTTGATTATCTCGGACCAATCACCATTAAAAAAGGTGTGGAGCCAATAAAGCGATGGATTGCCTTGTTCACTTGTCTAACCACAAGAGCAGTACATTTGGAAGTAGTCCATGATCTATCCGCGGAATCATTCATGCAAACATTCCGTCGATATATTGCGAGAAGAGGGAAACCAGAAACTATACTGAGTGACAATGCCGCTCAATTCAAATTGGCGTCGAAACTATTTAACGAGCTCAATAATCTGCAGACGATTCGATGGAAGTTCATAACCGAACGAGCACCTTGGCAAGGAGGCTTATATGAACGACTAATCGGTTTGACAAAACAAACAATGAAGAAGGCCATTGGCCGTAGACTGTTGGATGAAGAAGAGTTGAGGACATTGGTAACAGATGCAGAAGGAATCATCAACTCTAGACCAATCACTCAAGTAGCTGATGATAGTAACGAAGTACTCAGACCTATAGACTTCTTGATACCACAAATACAAATAAACGTCCTTAGTGACGAAGAAGACACTGAAGAAGAGTATTTGGTATCCCAGTCATCGACAAAAGATAAATTAAAGAAACGCTGGCAACAGACGAAGGTGGTAATCAACAAATTTTGGGAAATATGGAGAATAAATTACCTCGCCATACTTCGAAGTCGGACAAGAAAAGAACATAAAGGTCCCAGAAGCACTACAAGTAGACCTCCTCGACTAAACGAAATAGTCTTGGTGGCAGAAGAAAATGTTCCCAGAGGGAACTGGCTTTTAGGACGAATAAAAGAAATTCGTAGTGGAGCAGGAGACGTTATCAGAACAGCACTAGTCCAAATGCCAAACGGTAATATTTGGACAAGACCTATAAATCACTTATGTCCCTTGGAAACGGATATTGAGTCTCCGGAAGATAATCCAAATCCTCCTCCAAACACTGATAATGATGATCCAATCACGCATCCTCAAAATGACCCTAACCTCGACGAAGAAGAGGACGAGATACAAGAAAATTCGTCACAAATAAAACATGACTCCCATAACCGCAATACCAAAGATAACCCTAAAGCTGCTAAAACGGTAAATATGGCAATAATGAAATCACCCGTTGGAAAGTTTTGGCCAATTTTCCTTTTGCTCACAGCAATGAGTCAAATGACAATCGCTAGCATGAAGGCCGGACACGATTGCGACTCATCCGAGCATGGTGTATTCATGCGTTTACCCGAGATAAGAAACTGCAGTGCAATCGGAAGAGAGCACAATTTCGTTGAAAAATTAGTTGTATCAGTTTACTCACGAGTGCCAATTAAAATTCCAGCTGGAGCATGTTCTAAGATAACAAGAACGGTTTGCACGAAGACCCTTCTACGATGGTGGTTAGAAGTCACGAAGGACGAAACGATAATGGAACCGATGAAATTAAACGACTGTCTGGAAATGGAACAAAACAAACGTTTCAATGGTGTGATATTGGAAGCCATTGGAAAGAGCAAGTGGGAATCGCAGAACCCAACAGATTATAATTATGGATGGTTTGGCACAACATGTTACCCAACTGTCAACTATCAAATCGAGAAAGGATTCATTGTCGGTGGAGAAGATTCTCATCTATACAGCGACTTTGGAGAAATGACCGGATGTATCATCCGTTCGAACAATTGCACGACAGAAAGAAGAACAATATGGTGGAATGTAAGTTCAATTCAAGAACAATGTCCATATGAGAAAATTGGAACTTACAATGCCTTAAAGAAAGGTTCTCATATTCTGATAAAAGAAATACAAGCGTCACTGGTAATGACACTTTCCGAGAAAAATGACACGAAAGCTTGTAAATTCGATGAACCGAAATTCATGGAAAATGACATTGTGCTAACATTAATGCCAACAAATTTATCTCTAAAATCGAAGAGGAGCATATATGAAAACTTCACTGAGGAAGCAGTTCCCCTAACAACAGTAGTGGAAGAAACAGAGCTTCTAAGCGAGGATGTAGATCCCGAAAATGTGAAATTTCAATTCGTGGTGGACGAATTACAAGATGAAATCAAGTCACAAGTTAACGCAGCCCTGAAGGAAAACTGCGCAACGAGAAACATGGTGATCGAAATCGTGAAGTTCATATCTCATAACAACGCCACAACGGCAGCAAAAATCTTGCTACAAAGAAATGATGTTCGAGCGAGAGTAGCCCATCAAGGACTGTGGATATCTCCATGTAAAAGAAACGAGACAGATATCGACGAGAATGCAATTGTATTTAAAGCAGGCGTCATATCTCACTACAATCAGAAGAAGGTCGATATGGCGTTGAAGATGATTTCGGAAGAAAATTGGATAGCTATAAGAACGAAGATGAAGAAAGAAGATCCCGATCAAGTAAATATAGAAGGAGTCATTGAAAAAGAAACCGAGCAATTAATCGATAGAATAACAGAAGATTTCAACATCGCTTCACGTGGGATTCAAAAAATAGTGGAAGAAATATCCGAACCATGGGTATTAATTTCGATATGTATTGTCGTAATTATCGCTCTTATCTTATCACCAATGATTTGCTTCCAGTGCAATATTTGCCGAATCTTATGCAAATTATGCTTAGCAAGGAAAGCAAAGAAGAAGAGAATCACCAAGAGAAGACACAATCGATCCGATTTGGAAGAATTAAGCCAAATCGATGAAGAAGCAATAGAACTACAAGAAATCTCAAAACAACCAACATCAATAAACTCATATAAAAAATTGGAATTCAAACCAATGGATTTAATGTTATAATCAATGTGAAGACAATCAGGCGGGAGTCTAATCGATTAATAAATGAATAATCTCCAAAAAATAGCTGCTTATACTCTTTTGTGGTGGGAGTGTCGCGAAAGACGCGATTAAAAGAGAGAGA